CCAAATTATTTAATATAATAAACAAAGAAACATTGATATTTGATCCATTGCTTGCTGCTGACTTATGTAGTGACTGAAACATACTAACAAGACATTAACTAACCTAACTAACTAAAATGTCAAAATATTGTAGGTATCCTCCTAAGTATAATTTAAATTTAGTTTTTTAAAAGAGGCACTAACCTAACACAGGCATTGTTTGCTTAAAAGGAGGCTCCAATCCATTAGTCCAATGTTATCCAATGTTAGCAATTACAGTGCCCTAGATTATCAAAACTATTTAAAATAAATAATACTTATAGCCAGTAGGTCGTTCGTGACTTGTATGTACCAATTAATGGTACTTGGGGCGGGCTCATAACACATGAAAAAAAATGCTGGCATTTTTTTTTAAATGTGGGTAGTTATCTTCATTATAGTAAGAGTGGAAGAGCCACCAAAGAGCTCATAAATATAGAGGAAGAGATTAGACGCTATCGCATACGGTTGGTAGAGAAAGAAAGAAGGTTGTTTTGATCGTGCATCTCTCCCTGCTCCTATCACTGATTGGTTATTTTAAATACCCTCTTCAGTATCAGCTTATCAGTGCAGAGAGGAGAGAGAGATGCAAGACCAAATCTGTGCTGTTGTCCTGCGTAGTTTGTTCCCTTAGTCGCCTTTTACGACACCCAGGGGATGAATGGGGTTGACACTCCGTATTCCTCATCCGTCACCACACGGACTGGTAAATACGTACATTGCGTTGACGCTCTTAAAGTGCCAAACCTCGACCGAAAGAATTGATTACAACTGGTTTTCTTTGAGGCCTTGACATCATTCCAATCGAGCCGGTAATAGCAGCATCTGGCAAAATCAAATCCTTTAAATATCAGCAGCTACACGATGACAGCTGTTCAGTTAGCCGAAAGGCCATTCGCACTGGCTATTTTGCAAAGTCACAGTGTGAAATGAGAGAAAATCTTTAATAAAATAGCCATTTGTCTGACATATAACTGTAGGTATTTAGCTTCATGATTGCAAGTTCTTATAAATCGAGGACGGTGACGGATTAAGAATACAGAGTGTCACCACCCCTATTCATCCCGTGGGTGTCGTAAGACCGTCGGGAAGAATTCCACCTATTTAACCGCGGGAGTGACCAGAGTGACACGAAACCTATTAATATTACATCACTGAGTATGTGAGATTACCGGCGTGTGGGTGCGGAGGTTACTAATGGGGTGCTAATTCTATGAAAAATCATTTCATTTCGATACTACAATAAAATTAGAAGAAAGTAAAGTTGGCTGATTCAATTTGGCAGCTCAGTAGTTTAGGTTACTTTACAACCCATAGTAGCAGCGACTATAAACGCAGATCGTTATGAGAAGGCTAGTCGACAATCCGTATGGTGACGGATTAAGAATAAGGAGTGTCACCACCCCTATTCATCCCATGGGTGTCGTAAGAGCCGACTAAGGGAGAAAACTACGCAGAACAATAGCACTGCAGAGACAGGGAAAACTTGACACAAACCCTATACCAACCCGTCCGGCCAGTGTGGTATAGTAGGCCAAAACCTCCTTTCTAAGGAGAGGCTTATCTCCAGCAGTGGACTATTAAAGGCTGTTGATGCGATGATGATGTGAAATATGTTTTAACTGAAAACTAGTGCAGACATCACATTGGTCCTTCCTTGGTTATGAAGAACACTTAGGAAGGTATTTCGTGAAACAGGATATTTGTTTTGTTCATTACAACATGTTTTATAAGCTGCGTCCATGTGCAGGTCGAAATGTTGACTCCACATAAATGCGCTTTGATGATGCGGCAATAGTGACGAGGCACTTTTGGAAGTATGTTAAGCCATTCGGAAACCGTTCCTCGTATACTTTTGGTGGTAGCCAAGACACTACGATTACGTCCAATTGAAGTAGGGAGTCATTTTCATCTGCCATTTCTGACGCATCTTTAATACAGCGTAAGAAAGAATCACGTCCAAGTTTAAAATAAAAACAATGTGGACACTGAAACTAAATGACACCTAAAACTATTTTTAGATTTTTGTTCTATTGCAGTATTATTACAACAACTTTTACAAATCTCGCTTCTTTTGGAATACTCTGTTCTAGCTTTCCCTCTTTTTTTGGCAACCCATGTATTGTTTACCCAGTAAACAGAGGCGTTTAGCTTTCGAATGATAAAATAATGGATTTTGAGAGCTGCTTGGTATTTCGATGCTCGCTGTTAATTCCTGGACGGGATTTGATGAATTATCATCATCATTAATACTGTAAACGACGTAACGCTTCCGTTTCTGGATTGTAGTTAAGGGTGAGCTATTACTTCGTTCAGGGGATGAATTTACTGACACGTTAGTTTCATTGCGTATATCGGAGTATATAGATGGTTGATTACTCGCCTGTATAGCTATGGAATTTTGCAGTGGTTTAAGCGGTCGCCACGCCGCGCCGCTTCCTATTACTCCGAGTGTTGTGGGTTCAAACCCCACATGGGACGACACTTTGTGTGATTAACAAATTGTTTTTCTGAGTCTGGGTGTTCTTTGTGTCTGTTTCATGTATGTTTGTAAATTCCCCCACGACACAGGATATATTCCAAATGCGGGAGTTGTCTTTAAAAAAAAATCCTGTAAAATTTCTTGGAACTAATTAGTGATTTACAAAACATGTGCTTATTTATCTATTACTTATTAGTCAGTTATTGTAACTAATATAACAGATACTCGTAATTTATTACCCATCACGATTGACCATGATCAAATAAAACATGTTATATTCACGTGTGTCACATAGCACATATTAATTGACAATATTCTAGCCACAAAGATAAGAAAGAAAAGAAAAGAGCGTACTCTTTCCTCAAAGGCTGGCAACGCGCTTGTGACTCCTGAGTAGTAGGCCTTCATGGGCGGCGGTAGTTGCTTTCTGTGCCCCTTATTCCATAAAAAAAAGACAGTGCTCAAAGCACACAGCAGTTGCTTTATACGAAAGATTGATTATCTACTTTTCCTAGACAAAATGTTAAAATCTGAAAAAAGTGCACATGAAGATTTTGGATTGACAACGACATTATGCAATATTTTTCCATTTTATTTTTTGAGGAGTGAAGATTCTTGCGCTAAGGCAAAAGGAGCGAAATAAAAAACATGCTATCGGTTATTGGATTTATCGTGTGGTTTCATTGCCTTTTTTTTTTTTTGTTTCGGATCTCCTGCTCCTCGGGGCCAGGAGCTAGGAGTATGTGGTGATTCCACTAAAAACCACCCCGACGGCCGGCCTCAGGTGCCCTGGGAGGCCTACTCTGGGAGGACCTGGACCATGTTATTTCAGGTCCTCCCCGAATTGACACCATGCCTAGTCAGGCCCTATCCCAGGGGAAAATCACTTCCCTCCTCAATCGCCACGTGGCGGCCCAATTTCGTCTTAATGCAATCAGGCCGCCATCCTATCCCCTACCGCAACATTCAATCAGCGACCAGAGGTCCCCACTCTCTGGCGGCCCGCGGCCCCGTAAGCGGCTGGTATGGTCGCCGACGTCCTCTACGCTCGGGATCGGCCCTCTCCCGATCCCGTTCAGCGATCTCTTTCTGGAGCATTACAGCTTCACAAAAAGATACCAATGTGCTTTCATTGCCTAGTTTTTATTTCGAAGAAAACAGATCGACTATAGTCGGTCAATTTAAGCGGGAATATCTCCTGAATTTACCGCACTTCAAACAACTGAAATATTATATTTTAAAGTCGACTATTCAATAAAATACAGCTGTTAACATATAATACTTTTATTGGAGGATTGGTTAAAACAGCTGGTGCATGGGATGCGGCCATAGTGGCCGGATGTGTGTAGATTAGCTGTTGTTTTTGCCGACATGAAGCGCGCCATTTGTTTTTGCGCGCTTTTATACAGTATTGCGATGGAATTTTATATGGAGTACTTATGTTGAGATGTTGGAAATGTGTTTTTAATTAATTTGTAGTTCTAACACAATATTAGGTATGTGTCTGTTTGAAGAAGAATCGGTTTCAACTTATCAGTTTGAGTATTATAATAACACACTGTTTGTCCACCCCCTTATCCCCATAATTATGTCCCATTCAAGTGATATTAGACAAAACTTATTGCCGTCTACTGGCTCTAGATAAAAGATGGCTTAATTGAGGGTAGACTGAAATTGAATGGGAGGTCAGAAGGGAAGGCAATAGAAGGCGTATAGGCAAAAAGTATAATATTCTATTTTTTGCCTATACGTATGTACTGGGGCACTGAGGGCAAGCAAAAGCTCGTGCAAGTTAGGATGCATACCTGTAACTCAGAACTGGTTGTTGCCGAGAGGTCCGAGCCATTTAACCATTTATGTTATTGCTGGAATTAAATTGCCGCAGTGCTGTTCAATCACTACTGCCTGCCCTTCAGCAAGTTACGAAACCGGTTTCGAAATAAGAATAATATCGTGGGTATCGAACCCAAAACTCCTGGCTTAGCAGTCAGAACCACTAACCACTATACCACACTACACAGACAGACGCTAGGTGGTGTATTGGTCACACACGATATATATATTTAGTTGGTTTGTGTACGCTTCAAAAACTCAAAAAGTTCTGCATCTATTGAGCTCAAATTTTGACACGATATATAAACCGCTTCAAAGATTGTTTTTATAGATTTTTCGCATCAGTTACGTTCCTCATTTCTACGACACATGTGCGGTAGCGGAGCGTAGCCCACTGCCAAGCTCCGCTACCGCACATGTGTCTCCTAGCTGTCTCCTGCCACGCTAAATAAGAAATATTCTTAAGATGAAGGAACTTACTGTGGTTCATACATTACTAGTATTCCTTATAACTCTTACTGCTGTCCGTCCGTGTATTAAGATTAGGTTTACTGAGTGGGGTTTGAACCCGTTTGCTTTCAAAGTCCCAATTATAACAAAAAGATAGACGTATGTACAACGATATCCCTTTATATTTCAGTAGCAACACAGAATCTCAGCTTTCGGAATGTCTCTGGGAGACGTGACGTCAGCCCGCAGCTCACCAGCGCCGGAAGCATGCCCTGAATGCGATGCCAGCGCGTCCGTCACTTCCGATTTACACAAGGTACTTTTAAATTGCAATTACATTGAAATATTCGATACTGTTATTTATTAATGTACTATCTAATACGACTTCCGATAATATAAAAATACAAATATTTTTCACTGCGCGAGAGTCGAACTTGCGATCCCCGGCATGGCAGATACATACACTACCACCGCGCCACAATGGTTTCTTATAATATCAGTATAATTACCATTGCTACAACCATTCCCTGTTCCAGTACCAAGAAGCATGCACATGCAAACCAGGAACAGCTCAGTATGCCTGTGCTGATGAACCGGGTCCCCCTCCACCAGCGAAGACCGACACACCGCCAGCGCTTCCTCCTAGACCTCCCACTAACGCGCTAACTGCTACTAACAGAAGGAATAATGGTAAGAAATATTTTTCATCTACTGTATTGTCGACTAGCCTTCTCATGATGATCTGCGTTTATAGTCGCTGCTACTATGGGTTGTAAACTAACCTAAACTATTGTGCTGCCAAATTCAATCAGCCAATTTTACCTTCAATCCGTGTGGTGACGGATTAAGAATACAGAGTGTCACCACCCCTATTCATCCCGTGGGTGTCGTAAGAGGCGACTAAGGAAGCAAACTAAGCAGGACGACAGCACCTCCGTACCTGCGCCGGTAATCTCACGTACTCGGTGATGTAATATTAATAGGTTTCGTGTCACTCTGGTCACTCCCGCGGTTAAATAGGTGGAATTCTTCAATGGATGTGTCCGTGTAGTGTCTGATTAAGAATACGGAGTGCTATTTATCCTGTAGGTGTCGTAAGAGCCGACTAAGGGAATAAACTACGCAGGACAACGGCAAAGCAAAATGAAGGAAAACTTGACACAAACCCTATACCAACCCTACTATACAACGCTGGTCTGGTTCTTTCTTAAGAGAGGCCTATGTCCAGCAGTGGACTATTAAAGGCATCTGGTCCTATTACACAAATTAAATACGTTAAAAACAAGACCCAATATTATTGATAGTAAAAATATCCAGACTACATACCAGAGTCGTTTTTCATGGCAGCCATATTGGAATTCGAAACGGGATATTGCTGAGGGCAATTTCTTCGTATCGTACTGAATATTGAATTATCTAGAAACTAACTGTGGAGGGCTTTCTCCGTAACTGCTAAAGGAAATTTATTTCCGACACTACGGACCCACGTAATACGAGTTCGTTTCATCATCATCATCATCTCAGCTGAAAGACGTCCACTGCTGAACATAGGCATCCCCCCAAGGTTCACCACAACAACCGGTCTGCTGCTCGCATCCTACGGCTTTCCGTGACCTTCACCAGGTAGTCGGATTACCTTGTGGGAAGCGTACCCATGGCGTACTCTGCGTCTTCGGCGACATTTTACCTACCATCTGACGGCCAACTCAAGCACCGCGCGCAGTCAATGGTCAAATCAAATAGCGCGCGCTCTCATTGGTCAAATGAAAAAGCGCTCGCTTCCCCGCCTTTCTGTTACACACATCCGTCCCTTTACACGGCATCACTCCCACAGATGGCAGGAAAGAGAGGGGAAGTTGATACACCTCAAAGACGTATTTTTCTACGAGTTCACACGTTTTAATACCACGTCTGCCTGACTTTTAATTATATTTACTTTTTTTTTTTATTTTAGTTGTACATAAGCGGACTTAATTATAAAAAAAAAACATATGGTATTCTCTCCTGGTCGACCTTGGGGTGTTGTAGAAAAGAAATATAATGCGGTAGACAAAGATAAAATATAAAATTTAACATTATTTAAAAAAAAAAATGAAAACCTACATTAGATAAACATTAGACGTATGGCGTAGACGATGGCTACATTCCTTGCTACTTCTATGTAATATATATACATATACAATATATAAACATACACATACGTAAGTATTAAAATTAAAATACACAGGTACTAGAATGCTTGGCACATTTATTTTTTATCCTTGTAAATCACGAACCCAAACATTTTGATCGCATTACCGACGCCATAGACGCCGCCACTGAATTTAAACATCTACAAAAATATTCTATACACATTTCTATGATATACATACTGGTTTACCTTACGCGCAATAAAAAATAATGCAACATTTTTTTGGCGCGGCAGGTAGTTGCACCAAAACTGTCAAGTCTTTCATAGATTTCTTACCGATAAACTTTTTGTGATTCGTCCTTTTCGATAACATTAGTTACGATTTGACAGAATAAGGATTTATCGTCAGGTGTTCTTCAGTCATCCAACGATTTAAAAAAAAAAGCTATAAATATCAATGTCCTTTGATTAAACTATTCAATAAACCAGGATGTGGGTGAACTATCTTCCCACGGATCCTATCTATTCTTTCTAAAAAAAAACACTGCACAAAGTACGTACAGGTACATGTGAGTATCCTACCTGTGTATATGTTCATAACAATAAACGCGTTTGTACAAATCCACAAATAAATCCATAACTCACCATTCCCTTGTTAATTTAGACCTTTCTACCTGGAAGTTATAAAGAACCTATTGCGACTGCGCGACGCCATTGTCAAATCACATAACCTAACACGTAAACTGTGTAATGTAGGTAACGAGATGTTTACCGTCACGAAAACATTTATTAAAACTATTATTTGACTGTATTAATCGCGTATTTTGTGTCACTGTCAGTGAAATTGTGTGTTGTTTATGTTATAAATAATAAGAAAACAAAAAAGGAGGGAGAAGTATTAAAAAAAACATCAAAATCTAGTTATTTGACTTTGGAATTGATTTTTTATTTTAATTTCTACGTGAAAGTGCCGATATTGATAAAGTTCGGTGTTGTAATTGAATATTACTATTTGTTGTTATATGTAAAGAGGTCATTGTTCTTTACGCACCGCTTGGGTTGTAACTATCGATTTTTAAGAAATGGCGCGAGTTTTGAAAGTTCCTTTTAATCTGTAAGAATATATTTCATCTATAATCTTGTTTTGAAAGAGAACTTAGTGGGAAATCGGTGTTTTTCATCTTAAAGTTATTTGTTTAATGATAATTGTGCAATAAACAGTGAATTGTGTGCTAAAAATAGTGTTATGAGTGAAATTATGTCGTGTTTATGAACGGCTAGGGATGCAAGCTTGTGGTGTTATGCAAGTCGTGCAATATCAAGTTTCAACTCCAAGGTCGACTATAGCAGCTGATGTGGCTCAGCACTATGTACCGCCACCGCCATATTTTGGTAAATTTACTTTTTAATTTAAAATAAACTTAAACTAGATTTTGGTTCCCATTCTTTTTTTTCGTAGTATTGTACCCACAGATTATTAATAAATTAATTAGGTCTAATTATGCATACTTTATCATCATCTTCAAAAAAAGAAGGATGGTTTGTATTTTTATGCTTAAACTCCGTAATTTCTGATCTCCGATTTTAAAATCTTTTTTTATTACGAGAGTATACTTGCCATTTGGTCCCATTCAAGTTTAAAGAACGATACACCCCTAAGGGTGAAAATGAAATGTAAATGAAATACTGTATAAATTTCTGTATAATTTCCTATTGGTCGTAGCGTGATGTTATAACCTATAGCTTTTTCCTCGCTATATGAGCTATGCAATATTAAAATAATTGTTCAATTCGACCCATTAGTTCCTGACATTAGCGTGTTCAATCAAACAAACAAACTATAATATATGTGTAGGATTAATACGGAGATTATTTATAATTTTAACAAATATAGGTAATTACGTCAAATTAATTACAGTACCAATAAAATGAAATGAAATAGTTTTTGTCGAAATAGGTACTTTAAGGAAGAGGGGGCAAACGAGCAGATCTGATGGAAAGTGACTACCGCCGCCCATGAACGCCTGCAACTCAGGAGTCACAAACGCGTTGCCGGCCTTTTACGAAGGAGTACGCTCTTTTCTTGAAGATTTTAAGAGATACTCTTAAGAAATTGCAATAAACTTATATTAAGCGATGTATGTAAAAGAAGCCTCTTAAATTACGTTTCAAAATATTTCAAAATAACCGTGAGAAAGCCACTGACACGTATTGGTCGACTCGACCGGAGCTGCGGAGTCATAACACGGCTTCGCAGACCCGCTGTTGATCAATTTTTAGTTGCAAATCACCTAGTGATAGACACGGAAATTATTGCTGGGGGTCCAAAGACCCCTCATGCCGTTTTATTTTTAGTGTGTTTAGTGTCGGAAAAAAGTCTTGTTACACATTGTTCCGTCTTGCTCCTATCCGCTCAGAGCGTGTAACGCGCTATAAAGAACTTCGTTGCAATAAAAAAAGTTGCAGGTACCCATGGGTGGCGACAGTCAGGTTACTGTAGGAACAACCCCTCCCTCCTAGTTCTGGGAGGGGTTGAGAAGGGCATACTCGAAGGCCATTTGAGATTTTTGATAAAAAAATAAAAATTAGTCAGCGCTTTTAAAGTTTTTTATAACTCTATAGGTATACCTAGATTTTCTTTCTTTTTAAACCTAACATATAGTGTCTTGATAGGTATAGTGGTTAGCGACTCTGAATGTTACGCCAGAGGTCTTGGGTTCGGGTGCCACCCAGGACAAAAAATTATGTGATGAGCACGGTCATTTGTTCTGTGTCTGGGTGTACTTTATCTATAATATGTATGTACATATTTAGAAATATATAAGTATGTTTATCAGCAGTCTGGTTACCATAGTACAGGCTCTGCCTAGTTTGGGATCAGACAGCCGCGTGTGAGATGTGTGAAAATATTACAATACATTAGTTCCGTCAAAGTGACCGTTGTATGTAATAAAATAAACTGTCGAAAAAAATATCTAATATATAAAATTCTCGTGTCACGGTGTGCGTGGTTGAACTCCTCCGAAACGGCTAGAACGATTTTCATGAAATTTTGTGTGAATATCGGGTAGATCTAAGAATCGGCCAACATCTATTTTTCATACCCCTAATTTATTTTTTTGACTTTTTTTTTTAAATAATGTATATGGCAACACAACGTTTGCCGGGTCAGCTAGTTATATTATGTTAGTTCCGACAAAGTGACCCTAGAATGTAATAAAAGAAACCATAGAAAAAAAATAAAACAAAAAGTAATAGTTGTTACAAAATTTGTTGCTCGCTTACTTTTGATCACGATTGTCGGTACTTAGAGATCGTAAAAAATAACGGGCCTAAAACGTGAGTTACGAAATTGTCGAAGATGAGACTCGAAGATATTCTATGAATAAAAGTGATATTTAGAATACAGGGATTGACCTGTTGGTATAGTGGGTAGGGTATCTTGACTGCTAAGCCTGAGGTCGTGGGTTCTCACCCAGGACAAATAATTGTGTGAACATTTGTTGTGTCTGGGTGTAATTTATCTATATCTATACAAATAAATAAAATATAAGTATCTGTTTGTAATGTCAAAATAATTGTTTTTTTTTCATGCTCACACGGTTACGATACCTATGCCTAAAACAAGTTTAAAATTATTTTGTCTGTCTGTCTGTTTCTTGGTTCCGGGTAATCTGCTAAACGGCTGGATCGATTTTGATAACATTTTACTACCAGGTAGCTGTCTATTGTATGCTGTATGTATTTAGAAATATATACCTAAATACTCGTATGTTACCTACCTAAATACCTAAATGTGTGGTATATGTAATATGTATAGTAGATAATAATAAACAAATAGTAGGTTCACAAATGCAGATATTCAACTACTACTGTCTCTCTGCAGCTTTTGATCCATCCTAAGGTTGCCTGGAAGAAATTGCATTTAGCAATAAGGCCGCTCTTTGTACACTCGATATTGGATCGCTGTGTTTCTTTCATGAAACTCTGTAATTTAGTGTGTGTGAGGTTATTATTATTATTTTTACTAACAATCTATATCGAGAACTATTTGTAATAGTTTCTATTAGTTTGTTTTTCCAAATGGCTATCTTGCAACATGATATATAAAAGTCCCACGTCTCACATGTCACAACGTAGTTGTTCTACCGCCAATAGTTGTGAGATCAAGTTGTTACTTCATTTTATTAATTGACAACATTTTATAGTGACTGTGTCAACATCTAACACAAGCCTTTAACTTAGATAGATAGGTTAACAGCAATACCTATTCATTTTTAGGGTTCCGTACCTCAAAAGATAAAATAGGAACCATTATAAGATCACTTTCTTGTTTGTCTGTCGTGTGTCACTACCGATTTTCTCAAGAACGGGTAGACCTAGCAAGTTGAAATTTATACCAGATACTGAGGTCTATGGTCCCTACTAAATGTATAAAAATCAAGGTTCTGAGTCAAAACGATAAAAAGATATGGGCAAATTTCGATTTTCGCGAAAACTTGTAAGTACCAAAATTTACCTTTATTTTCAACTATTTTTATTTTTCAGAATTTTGTCTTTACTTGTGCTGTAAGACCTTGCTTTTAACCAAAATTGACAATTCAAGTTTGGTGACAGGTTTTGGGTCGAAAACCTATATGGGTAGTTCCCGTTGACCTAGAATCACGAAATTTGGCAAAAATAAACGTCTTACAGCATAAATAACGGAATAATTCCATAAAATAAAAAAAAATGAAAATTAAGATAAATTTTGGTACTTACAAATTTTCGCGAAAACCTACGTAAAATCTGGGTAGGTACGGAACCCTCGGCGTACGAGTTCGACTCGTACCTGACCGGTTTTTTTCTTTCTGTAAGTCGTTTAGTAATCATGATCATACTAGTTAAGACTCTTTCATGTTTCAAATAATACTTATTAGTAACGTGTTACCCACTAGTGTTCTTTATTAAAAAATTGGCATTATTAAAAAATAAAAGAATGTATATTAAAAATCAAAATCATATAAAAACCTTTTTAAACCTGACTATACTTATCTTAGGTTACAGCTAGATTACAAAGCCGATTTTTAAAATAATGTTATTAAAGAAAAAAAACAAAAAGCTCGCCCGAATTTTCATATACCGAATGTCACTCACAATTAAGACCAATTTGACGAAACCTCTAACGCCAAAAACCACCAAGTCGTTGAAACTACACAGCGTGCCAAAGAAACATATATACATACTAGCTGACCCCGCAAACGTTGTTTTGCCATATACATTATGTCGGTTTACCGTAGCAGTGCCATCTATTGATTACTTACTCAATCCAGTCGAAAAGTATCGACATCTGTTAGAATCTTTTGGAGTTAACAGATAATTGTGACTGTCAATTAATTATAGACCAATAATTTGCAATTAAATAAAATTGCGACTATAATTAAAGATCTAAGCTATCCTATCTCTTAAGTTGGACCAGACTCCTCACGGTGTCATAATTTAATTTAAAATCGGTTAAGTAGTTTAGGAGTCCATCGCGGACAAACATCGTGACAGGAGATTTATATATATTAAGATATACACTCCAAACATATAACCTTCCTTCCTTCTGGCGCAATCGAGTATAAACTAGAAATGTTATTATAGCTATACTGGTAGTAAAACGATTAGTGAAATAATAAACTGATGAAAAACTAGACTCTTCGAGTTCTTTTTTCTTCTTCTTCTTCTTCATAAATGGCAAACTGTGCCGATGTCGACAATTCTGCCAGTGTCAAGTGCGATGGAAATACGTGGGATTTATTACACAAAAAATTGAATTGATGATATTAATTGTAGACTGAATGTGGGGCTTTTTGTTGTGGTTAGTATTTACACTGAAACAAGCAGACAAGCACAAATAGATAAGATATGTATTAAATAAATAAATAGGTAACTAATAAGGAAACAATTACAAAAAAATAAAAATCCAATATTCATAGAAATGAAGGTCAAAGTCTGATGTCATTGGATCGGATGAACAACATCAAGACCTGGAGAAGGTGGGGGGAAGAAAATGTTAGGAGAGATGAGAAGTTGATAGGGATGGGGATTTTTAGTTCGGTAAGGTGAGAATAGAGATCTAGGGATGGGATATTTTTAGGACAACTGAAGAATATGTGATCTAGATTGCCTTCATCTAAGCCACATTCACATAAGGACGAATCCCGTACCCGAATCTTGTTCAGGAACACAGGTGAGCTGCAGTGACCTATGCGGAGCCTACATATGGTGGAGATGACAGGTTTACATACCTTCTTAAATTTGTAGAACCAGGGTTTTGGGGTAATGCTTGGTTGGATTGCGTAGTAGTGACGCCCTTTATGCTTTGAGGAATTATTCCACTCTTCCTGCCAGGATGTTAACAATTCTCT